TGGAGCCTTTGCAGGATGCAGGTCGTTGGCAAGTGTAACCATTCCGGACTCAGTGACCCACATTGGGTGTGGAGCCTTTGCAGGATGCAGGTCGTTGGCAAGTGTAACCATTCCGGACTCAGTGACCCAGATTGGGGAAGCAGCCTTTTTACGTTGCAGTGCTTTGACCCTGGTCTTGCCCATCACCCGGATCAGGTTGGAGGAAGAGGCTTTCAGTGGCTGCCAACGGATTCAGGCAAAAGAATGTGAATGTCAAGGGTGTGAGTACAGCTGGTTTCTGGACGGCTGGGTGTGTCCTCGACGGTGGCGATCTTCACTCCATGGCCGACGGTAGTGGCCGAAACAAGGACTTACAGTTCGACCGGTAGGAGTTCCGGTCAAGCCGACCGCGACTGGCTTGTCAAAAGGCGACTGGCTATGAAGAACTGAGGGACGATGGGAAAGGTTTGAAAGAAGTTAAAGCCCACAAAGACCTACTGAGCCAACTGAACCTTTTGAACTTAGCCGTGACTATGGTGACAAAAGCAGTGTAAACCGATGTTTTTAAGTGGATCTCCTTTACATTTGGGGTTTAGTCCACTCTGCAGGTGCTGTGAACGGGCTGAACCTGAACACCATGACACGCGGATTCGATTCCCGGTTGGATGGATGTGAACTTGGCCCTCCACCGTTCATACCGTATAGAGATCACCAAATGTGCATGTCCAGTATAGCTTATGTATTGTAATATCTATATGCATAATCAAGATCATGAGCTGATACTTAGACTTCAAAAGAGATCATTCGAGATCACCCTTTTCGCTCAGACGTGTTTGGGACCGCAGCTGGACCTCAGAATGCTTCTTCTGTCACCAGCATTGGACACTTCCATGTCCTGCCAGGGGCAAGAGATGGTGCAACCCACACCGCCAGCCATCCGTTGAAGGCACGGGGAGGTCGGCTCTTCGTGTTTTTCGACGGAGGAACGGTGGAACACCGGAGAACCCGGTCCGAAGCTGAACAGCTGAAGGTCTTCATCCTTTTAAACGTTTGGCGTATACTGGGAACACACTTTTGATTGGTATGACGTCTTTGTTCCTTTTTTTTGTTACCTATTTCCTTTTTTGTGTGTCCAGAGGCTTCAGTTTTGGACATGCGCAACACAGCCCAACTGGACGGTGGGACTGGTGGGTTGGAACTCACCAGACGAGTGAGCCACTTTCTCCGTTTCCAATGCTTAAAGTACCCATTGCACCACTTGGCCCAAGAGAATTCTACATGCATTTATGTCATGAGCACCACCTTTGTCATGCAAACATGCCATTCCGTCCACAACCTATTATGTCATCTGGCAAACCAATGTTGTTTTGAAGCTTCGGTGGATCCCATGTCATCTGCAGGCAGTTTGTGATGTGGTGACTTCTGAAGACTCGTCGACTCGTGCTTGGATTCCTTATTTTCATGCAGGAGGTTTTGTTGAACATGAACCAGCTTCCATTTGCTTCATAACTCAGTTCAAACTCTTTGGGAGGTCGTATAGTCTACGGTCCAAATGTCCGCCGAAAAACCAGCTGCCTACGACCAAGAGAAGTGCGCTCCTATCCGCTCTGGCAGTCTGGACAGCTTCATTCACATTGAGCCGACACGGACCGAGGATAGTGAAACGACCTATCCAGCTTTACCTAAAGACTGATTCTCCTTCTCAACCCAGCAAAGACAGCGGGAAGTTTTGGACCTATGAATGCATCCTGCATAGTTCCAAAAATGAACAAATTGGACTAGCACAAGATGCATCTGCAAGTGCAGTTTGGGGGTCGTTACTCTTCACAATCTCTGCTTTTCCACTGTAAACCTGGCTTTCTCGGCATCCAATTTGCATTGAACATCTCCGCGCTGAACATTTGCGGACGAACATCGCAGGCGGAAGAAGTGCAGCCGTGGACATTAGCGGAAGCTCAAAAGAGCGGCAAAGCTGGCGTGGTAGGGGGTCTGACATGAGCAAGCAAGCCATGTAAGAAAAACGGATCTTCGTCTCAAATGAGCGCACGTGGTGATCTCTGTTCTCTTCACATAACTATAGTCAGTCATAGTCATAACTCATAACTTTCTTCCTGGTGTGGACACGGTCTACTCTGCTTGGTCATGTTAGTTTGACCTGAAGGTTCATTACAACTTTGCTCATGCTTGAGGGTTAGGCACCGCCTTGGAATCATTCAGAGAGGATCCATGGAGTTTTCACGATCGATCGTAGGAAGAAGCCAGCCAGAAGAACATGCCATTCGCCCCAGTAGAGGAAAAGAAGCTTCCAAATCTTCCTCTTTGCATCTTGTGGATTGCCATCAGTACTTGTTTATTCGAGCCTTGGGAGTCTCTTTGTTTACGACTCGTCCAGCAGGGAGCCTTGGGTCTTGCTCCCTTTGCTTCCCTCTGCTTATACCAATACCTATATCATCAATATCATCTTCAAGTGACTAGTCAAATCGAACTTAGATCACTCAACTTAGGATGACATGCTAGACATGTCTATGTTCTTCTTCTTTCCCTTCTTTGTTCCATCACCGTTCGTTTTGAGGCCGCTTTTGGAAGGACCCGGTGACTGGTCCCTCCTTCGCACCTTTGACGCTCGTCGGTCCTTCGCACCCCGCGCCACCGAGGTCCGGTGTGGGCAGCAACCCACTGGAAGACTGAGCCGAGACGACACGGGGCGTTCGACCGACCGGGCGACCGAGCCGACACCGGCGCGGACCGCGGACTGGCGCATGTCGAGAAAAGAGTGTCTTGAAGCAAAACGGAGAAAAACGGTGATACAGATGCGTTCTTTTTTGTGTCTTGATTTCTTTGAGACGACTTGGAGAAGGGTCTTTCTTGGTGAGAAAAAATGGAAGAATGGGGGGACCCACTTGAGGTATTTGACTCCCCACGTGAGGAAACCATCGATTCTTCCTGCGAATCTGGATATTGAAGGTTGTTGACGTTTGGAGAAAGGGTTCTGAGGTGCTGAAAACATGACTTCGCTCTAAGTGTGTAATTTTTTAACATCCCCAAATCATCCTCAAAAAAAGCAACTCAAAAAGCAACTATATTCTTTTTGCACCCCAATGCATCAAGGCATCAAGGCATCGAAGACTCTTTCGCCCATCACGTTCTCTCAGACTTCACCCTGAGGATCGACTGATCGCCCATCAGGTCACTTCACCATCCGCGAGTTTCGGTGCAGCCAACGCATCGGAAGAACGGCCTGTCACGACCGAGGACGTGTCGGACCACGTCGGACCGTCGACCGTCCACCGTCGGCGGCGCGGAGGCGCTCTTTAAGTACAACCGGAAGAACTTCATGTTCGACAAGACCTTGCGACAGGCGGGCGATGTTGAGTTCTTGAGTTGTCATGTTGCGGCTCTGAAATCCAGTCAGTCGTGGCTTGGGCTCTCAATATTTTGTGCAGGAGCGCTAATAAACGAACAATGCTATCAGTAGTAGACCCGAATTCTCTTCAGGGTATATGTTCTCGTTTCTTTTCAGAACTCATCTTATATGAACTCTCTTGGATGCACTCTGTGGATGCAAGGCAGCAAGTCGTCGCCACCCAAAAATCATCCAAATCCATCCAAATCCGCTCGAATCCTCGAATCTGCCAGGAACGCGAGTTCCAAGAGCAGGACATGAGGGTCGCCCAGTTCAGCCTCTACCGCGAGGCCTCCGCTCGGGTGTGCCGTGCTCAGAGGTGGACGTTGGTTCACGATCCTCCAGGCAGGTCCAGTCTGCAGTAGTTTCTCCTATTTGCATATACCCTACAGGTCCAGTCTAACGGTCCAAGCCTGCTTCTTGACCTCATGGAGTCATGGAGTAGATGTTTTTGTATTGACCAACTCCAGTAAAATACAAGAACTTTTGACTCTTTGACCTGCAAACACCTCCAAATCCATTCGCTTCCCAATTCCTGTTCACCACCTGTGCGCTGTTCGTCGAATCCTCCGCCCGCTTCGTGGGACTGAGCCGAAGCGCTCCTCAAGCAGCGTGAAAAGCCAACGCTCACGAGCCGAAGCGGACGTGACAAATGACTTGAAACAGAGACATGTTGGGCCGTTCAAGAGTGAGTTTCCACGTGCTTCGAGGCTCGCGAAGCTCGGTGAAACGACCGCGAGCTGGGTGAAACCCATCCGCCACAGTCCCCACATGACTTTCTTCAGATAGGAACGAGGTCTTCCCATCTGCGAAACCCCACCTTCCGCTTTTGCATCCAGTTCACCCTCCTTCTTCCCATGCCTCCACCGTTTGGGCTTGCACTCCGGCTTTCACCGGCCAGGACGTGCGAGACTTGGTGGAGCTGACAGTTGGGGAGACCTGAGCTGAAGCGGGTCATCAGGGTCGACATTGGCACTTGGCAGATGAAGCAATTTGTTGGGGCAATATTTGGATGAGCAACATGTCCATCAGCAACTTGCTGGATTAAATTGGTCCTACTACCTGCACTTGGTGGATTCAATCTTCAGCAGAGCTTTTTCTTCCCCTTGCAATCGGAGCTAGCAAGGACCAGCTGAGATCGAGAATGACCAGCGAATCGAACCATCGAAACGCTCATTGTGAGTCATGACCCAAATTTCTGCAGAATTCTTTTCCACGATTTCGCACCGATTCCACGGCTTCTCGAATGCGCCGTGGGATCGCGGCGTCGGGACCACCCGTTCGGCACCGTGTGGATCGCACCCGTCGCCGAGCGCTTTCTCGCGCACCGCGAGCGATCGCACCGAGCCGCCCAGGTGGGGAAGATGGACTTGTACTTGGTCTCGGCCGCCCTTCTCATCGACCGGACCGATGACCACCGGTCATCCCGGTCGGGAAGGAGGGAGGTTTGTCCACGTGTGGAGCAAAGTCAACGCTTAATGATAAAACAGAATGGGAAGGAGTAAAGAGCCCCAACAAATCTTGAGCTCCAGGATGGTTGTAAAGCTCGAACACTCCTGGTTCGGTGTTGTGGTCCTCCTGTTTTTGGGAGATAGATAGGATAGATAGGATGTTGCGCTTTACGTTTGCAGATCCAATTCCCAGGACCAGATTGCTGTCAACTTTGTTTGGTCCTTTCTCACTGGCACTGCTGATAGACTGAAGGACAGATGGTGGCAACCCCCTCTATACGTAAGGGTCAACCAAACCAATACTGGAGTTGTGGCATGGGATTCTGGCATCCCCTGTTTTTATAGCAGTGGAAACAGAAGACCTGGCCTTCATATAAGTGGGCCGTGTCAACCGGCTTTCGATATTAAGACTTGCCTGACGTGCCCAGAAGACCCACTTCTCTTCACGGGAAAAGAACAACAACACACCTGTTTCCATTGCCTGACGCATCGCGGCAGTGAGGACCACAGTGATGATCACCAAGGCAGATGAGGCGCGTTCCGCTGAAAGGGATGTGGCGAGTTCCTCGATGTTCCTCAAAGTGGGTGGATGAACGGCCCACTGAATTGCAGCACTGAAGACTTTGGGAAGAGTCACAGACTTGTTCAGATTGTTCGGAGGAGCCCACCAGTTTCCTTTGTTTACTGCTCTTCACGTGTGAGCCCTATTGCGGTGGATGGTGGCCTCTCGTGTGAACCCACAATCCATGGGTTCATAGTGAGACGGAAAGACGATCAGAAGCCTTGTGGACGCCGTGTTGATCAGAACCCCACCCCACCCAGATAGTGAGATTTCAGTTGCTGGCTGGCACCATGGTGCCCTGCAGGGCTTCAGCTCATCGATTTTTTTGGATCCGCAGTTCAGCAACTGAACAGGAGTGACTCTTCCTTATCCAAAGAAGCAGGCTAGCAGGACCCTGAGCTTCTTGGTCTCTTCCAGGTCCAGGAAAGCATGCTCTCCGGGTTCTGGTGGATTCTTTTTAGGTCCTGTCCCATTGGCCAGGGTACCTTCGAAAGTCCTTTCTACTTTGGTGTGACGTTTGGATCAATATATAGCTCTATATAATAATATATTATATATGATCAATAGCTGATGTAAACTGATTTTGTGTCGATTCCCTTTCTAGTTAGACCAGTTCTTTTGGAACCTTCCAAGACTGACGAACCGCCCTAAACCGACTCGCCGGGACCGCCGAGGCCTTGCCGGGCTTCTTGCCCTGGGACCCCACGAAGCGGATCTCGCCGGAGTGGGCCGTGGCGCCGCTCGAGATGCAAAGGGGACGAAGGAGGTTGGTTGAGCTCTGCCTCGGTCGAGTTCGCTCGAGTTCGGTGAGGCGAGTTGGCGCGGTTTTTGCGCGGTTTTTTCGGCCTTGAGAAGCTCCTTCCCAAAAATGCGCATGGCATGGTGGATTGTCGTGGAAAAGGCAGCAACAACAGGTCGGTCACAGAGGTGGCTCTTACTCCAAATGCGGGCAAATCGGGTCCAAGATGCTCTCAGAGCTTTGGACATGCCCAACAACAGCAAGCATCTTAAGAGATTTTGCCAGGGATTCGCCGCCGTTCCAAGTGGGTTAGAAGACATCTGCTCTAAACCTAGAGGCTTGCTGGAGGGATCCCAGAACCGTTCGAAAAAAGCCGCTGGAACTGGGCGGTTCAACAGGAGACCGGGATGGCCGCGCCGAGCGGGGAAGAACTGTGCCCAGCACCGAAGAAAGGTACTGAAAGGATCTGCGCACCAAGTAGACTCTACTGGTCAGAGAGGTGCTGTTACTGCTACTAAGTAACAGTGACAGCTCCAAGAAATTCTATGAAAGAAACGCAGCTTTGGAAAAACACCTAAGGCAACATGTTTTACCTTTCACACCATCAGCCACAGGAGTTGATAACATGTCCACCCCATTCTGACCGATTCTCTTGATAGACAACAGACCAAAAAAGACAATTTTTTGGTTTGGATCTAGGATTCCTCCCAGCAAAAAAGGTCGCTATATTAGTTTTTCCAAAGCATGCAACCAGCCCCAAAAAGGTCGCTTGACTTGCAAAAGGTCGCTTTAGTCCGTCGATTTGCCCGCAGCCGGCGCCACGAGGCTCAATGCCATGAGCTTGGCGTCTGGTGTGGCTCGGCGGGAGGAGACAGGGCTGGCTGACCGGTGAAGCAATCAAGGAGACCGGGCACATGGATTGCGGTAGATTCGCATAGAGTTTGAGTGAAAAGATGACATGTCTGAATGCCAAGTGGATTGATGTATATATTTGTTCTTTTTTCGATGGGCACAGCCGGTTTTCTGGTTCACAGACTAGAAGGACTGCGGTGGTTGGATCTCAGCTGCTGGCCAGGGTGCGGGCACCAGCTGTCGCTGGGTGGGGCCTGTTGTTTTCGACAAAACGCCGTCTTCGATTTGTTGTGCCAAAACGCAGCCATGGCCATGGAGGTTTCATTTCGGCAGCTGAATGGCGAAGCGATAATTCTTGAAGTCATGCCAGACATGACCGGTCAAGAGCTCAAGGAGCAGATCAAAGAGCGCCAGCATTGGGATGATGAACTCACACGCAAAACAACTCGGGTGGACATTGTCGTGGGGGCCAGCAGAATACTGAAGAATGACGAGACAGCTGCAGGCGCAGGCCTGTCTCCAGAATCAGAAGCAACTGTCATTTTGAGACAAAATACCGTGACATGCTCCGACAAACGTGAGTTTGTCCGGTGTGTGCCTGAGTTGGCCTTCGAGTCCTCATCTTTTCGTGCCCAACTTGCTCAGTACTTGGATTCGGATGATGATGAGGACGGTGTCGTCGACTACAACTTTGACCACTTGGACTTGGAGTCACTATTTGTGGTTCAAATCACAAATGGTGCAACAGCTATTGTTCAAAATGCATTCAGGTGCTGCACCTTGTTGG